ACTATGTATCTGGAGTTACTGTCAGATCCTTGTCAACTGAAGAATCACAAGGTTCATAAATTTTGAAAGGAGAGCTTTATTTCACATAAAGGGTTGCAGCCTGCAAGGTGGCCATTCTACAGGCTGGGAAGTGTAGCCTCTGGCAGAAGCTGAAAACAAGCAGTCTAAGGGAGGGGTAAAGGGAACAGTGATTTATGCTGAGTAGAGTAGCTAAGTATATATATTCAGTAACCTGTAGGAAGAGTCATGAATATTTATGAAAGGGGAAATAAGCACATGCACAATTGAGCTTCACGCCTTTTCATGGGACCCATGTTCAAAATATGGCAGCATTAGCACAATCCAAAGGGGCAGTTTTCAGCCCTCTGACGTTGAAAGGTGAAGCAGATGACACGAAAATCCTCACTGCATGTCCTCTGCCATTCAGCAAAACAGTTGTGGAGGTGGTGGTTAGTGTTTAGGAAAGGATGTGTTGTGTAACTGGTGAGCTGTCACATTGAAACAGCAAAGGTAGAGGAAGAGTCTGGTCACAACCTCAGACAGTTGGCTGAAGGCAATGAAAGAATGAGCCATCTGTGTTTTGTTTTCCAGAGCTGGTTTCTGTTTACTCCTTAGGAAATAATTCTGGTTAAAGGTTAATAAGGAAGGGGCATACTGAGGCATGTCTGACTTGCCATTCTGTCATGGCTGGGAACTCAATTTTTAAGATGGGGTCTGTTACCAAACTGAACCTGGGTCCACTTACCTGGTGCAGTAAAGCCAAACACCCACACTGAGGTTTGCAGTGAGAGAACGGAGGGCATTTCTTTGCAGGGCACTAAGCAAGGAGAATCAGCAGCTCATGCTTAAGACCAAACATACCTGATAGCTTACAGGAAGAGTTTTTAAAGGCAGGGGAACATTTCAGGAAAGCAGAAATTACAGGCCAAATTGCAAATCCCTACATGGAGGTTTGATACATTGATTTGGCTCAAAAAAGGTGGGATATCTTGAAGTGGGGGTTCTATATGGCATAGGTGGATTCAGAGATTATTTGATTTGCAGTTAGTTAAGGAAACAAAATTTTGTCTAAGAACTTGGGGTCAGCAGAAGGAATATTAAGGTTTGGCTTGTGGGTGTGACTTTCTTCAGACCCTTCAGAAAGCAATCTAGAGCAAACAACAGAAGTCAGGGCTCAGTCCTCAGGGGCCCCCTTATCTGAGCTCTGCTTGACAGTGGTTGGCATTTTCCATCTGGTTGTGGTGCAGGTTTCAGAAAAACAACTCAGGGACATATGTTAAGATGTTATCTTTAATTTCTACAGGGAATCAAACATCTTGTGGCTCTAACCTACTTGGGTGGCTATTGTTGTAAGCTATTTCTTTGTTATCAGGTTGCTCATTTACTTCTAAAGGCTAGCTAGATGCCTGGAATTTCCTTTGAAGAGATTCAAGATTTCTCTTTATTTTCATGCTTGAAGGAGGGGAAGGTATGTGGCAGCTCACTAAGAGAGGCCCCCGCTCCATCTCAGTTTCATTAAGTTGGTTGGAGGGCTTAGAATTTTCCTGTTATTTCTCTTCCCACAGGTTTAGTCCCACAAAACTAGCCCCTACTTCAGGTACCAAGCATAAGCCCCAGGCTGTAGCCTGTGCTTCTGACCAACTAGGACTTTAAATCAGGATACCCTTGACCCTCCTCCCCGGGTTCGATTAATTTGCTAGAGCAGCTCACACAATTCAGTGAAAACTTTACTTACATTTACTGGTTTATAATAAAAGATATTACAACAGATACAGAGGAACAGCCAGATAGAAAAAATGCATAGGGCCAGGGAGCTTCCATGGCCTCTTGGCGCACACTGCCCTCCAGGACCCTCCACGTGTTCAGCGATCCAGAAACTCCCTGAACTTAGTCCTTGGGGTTTTTATGGAGGCTTTATTATGTAGACATGATTGATTACATCGTTGGCCATTGGTGATCAAGTCAACCTTCAGCCCCTCTTCCCTCTCCGGAGGTGTCAGGGTTGGGGTAGGACTGAAAGTTCCAGCCCTCTAATCACATGGTTGGCTTCCCTGGCAACCAGCCCTTATCCTGAGGCTATCCAGGAGCCCCCAGCCCTCAGTCATCTCACTAGCATGTAAGAAGATAACACTTTGGAAAGCTTAAGGATTTTAGGAACTGTATGCTTATTAGATCACAATATTATATTCCCACATAGAGAACTGCTGTGTCCCTAGATTTATCATGTGCTACTTCTAATTTCTCCACGTAGGACTTTCTGATAGGATTGATTCCTAGCTATCTCTGACTTTATAGCCCTAGTCCCTGTAATTTTCAGCCCTCTATTCTACATTTTTGTGGGGGAAAGATTACCTAGGTGCCGAGGCAAGAGACTGAAGGCACAAACTGTTTCAGTGTAATAAAGAAAATAGTTAAAATAAGAATAGTCATAATACAAATTAGATATAGAGAGGATCATGGACAATTATCAATCATTATTATAAACATTATTAATCATTAGCTTTTAATATTACTCTTTGTTGCATTACTAATATAACCTAGGAATAACCAGCGGGTATAGGGTCAGGTGCTGAAGGGACATTGTGAGAAGTGACCTAGAAGGCAAGAGGTGAGCCCTCTGTCATGCCCACATAAGGGCCGCTTGAGGGCTCCTTGGTCAAGCGGTAACGCCAGTGTCTGGGAAGATACACATTACTTAGCAGACTGCGAAAGGGAGTCTCCTTTCCTTGGAGGAGTCAGGGAACACTCTGCTCCACCAGCTTCTTGTGGAAGGTGGGATATTATCCAGGCCTGCCCACAGTCATCCGGAGGCCTAAACCCTTCCCTGTGGTGCTGTGCTTCAGTGGTCACTCTCCTTGTCCACTTTCATGTTCCTCCCGTACTCCTGGTTCCTCTTTGAAGTTCGTAGTAGATAGCGGTAGAAGAAATAGTGAAAGTCTGAAAGTCTTTGATCTTTCTTATAAGTGCGTGCTGACATATGCTGCCCTCTCTCTCTCTGCTGCGGCTACCTGAAAGGGAAAGGCCCCCTGTCCTATGATCAGGTGACTTGCTTCACCTTATCACTTAGAAGATTCATCCTCCTTACCCTGCCCTGCTTGTCTTGTACGCAGTAAATATCAGCGCGCCCAGCCGTTTGGGGCCACTACCAGTCTCCGCGTCTTGGTGGTAGTGGTCCCCTGGGCCCAGCTATTTTCCCTTTATCTCTTTGTCTCGTGTCTTTATTACAATCTCTCCTCTCCGCACACGGGGAGAACACCCGCTAAGCCCCGTAGGGCTGGACCCTACATGTTTTCCTCTGTTTGAAGGCAGTCCAATGTCCTATCTCCATTCCTTTCAGTTGAATTCAATATATATTTACATCAGATTACTGAGCACTATTTATTATGTCTTAATGATGGGTAAACAATTATGAATGCAATACCATGGACTTTACAATGTAGTTTGGGGACACAGATACTTAAACAGATGATTTTCAAGTTGTTGGTAAGAACTAAGGTGGTGGTATACATAGGGAATAGCCAGTAACTGAACAAACGTCTGTATTAAAGGCAGTCATAAGATACCAAGAAACAAAACAAAACAAAAAAACAAAAAATGAACACTCTTTCTTTGGAGTTTATAGGCAATTTGAGGAGATACTGAATTAGCCCATCAGCAAGGATTGAAAGTTCCAAGCAGCAGAATTTACTTAGTTTATCGTTTACCCACATCTGGTCAGGACTGAGTATCACAAAGCTCTTAAATTAGGGAAAATGCCCTATGTCTAAATACAATCTCTTTTTCTTTAACCCAAGCTGCTTCTTAGTAAAAGTAGAAGCACAATTTACCGTCACTTATGAATAATTATAAAATCCGAATTGTTCTTTCTGGAGTCCAGAGAGTCCCACCCTGTGGCTATTGATGTACTGTACATGGTTACAAGTGTGCCTGGAGACTGTCTCAGCTCTTGGGACAACCAGAGTCCCTTGTAAGCAATCTTACTTCACTACAGTGGACCATACAAATATCTTATTTTCTGTGTGCCACAATATGAGAAAAGCTGGAAACCATTTCTTTAGACCATGTGCTTTAACCTTTCTTCAGAACTGGGCTAGTTTTCCAAGCAATCATTGTTGTATCTTATTAACCCTATTCCAGTTCTTTATGTAATAATGAGCTTTATTTGAAGAATTATGAAGAGAAGATAGGACTCACAGAAGGAACTAACTTCTTTTGAAGCTAGAGAGAGGATGATTCTTAGGTCTCCAGTGAACAGTTGATTTCCTAAGTAGCTACTTTTGGCCATCAGTAGTTGAGTGCTTGAGTGCCCAGCATAATGCAATTAATACTCTACTTCCAAAACTTTTGTATAGGCATTATGAATAGTGGGCTATGTGAGTAGCTGGCATACTAGGCAAATGAACCCATAAATATTATGTATTTTAGTATTACTCCTTTATTTGTTTTAACAATAACCAAAAAAGTTAGTCCTCATTATGTGCAAAACATTGGTTAGCTTAAAAAGTTTATTACTGAGAAGATACCTGGTACCTACCCCTCACAGAATATATAGTGTTTTAGAGAAGACAGATAATTAAAGAAGTCATTGCAATGTGGTGTGATTGGTGTTATGAAGAACATAAAGAAGAAACACTTACTGAGATTGCAAGACAGTTATATATAGTTACTTAGAGATAAAATTATTAGGACTAAATTGGGTGGCTCTTGTTTCTTTTAGAGTAAAATACAACTTTTGGTATGATTTAGAAGAGTTTCAACTGAATGTTACTTCCTTAATTATTCATCATAACCTGAGTAATATTGCAACTTACAATGCCTCTTATGTAATGTACAGTTTGCCCAAGTAACCTAAAAAACATTGAGACTTTCAATTCGTATTTTTCCCTGACCAGCAGGTAGTCCTAGTTTTAATGTAGTATGCTTTTTACTGGTAGCTTTTAATTGTAGATGTGATTAAATGATGCTACAATTGAGTATCCTCTTATCTTTTGTATTTTTAGGGAAGGTATTCATATAAATCAAGAATTACTGCAAATATCTCCTTCTATCACAGAGCAGTTCATTGAGCTGTTGTGTCAGTTCAACCCAACCCAAGTTATAGAGACTCTGCAAGTTCTTGAGTGCTACCGTCTGGAAGAAACTATTCAGGTAAGACGAACAAGGTAGAAGAGACAAGAGTAAACTATTCTTAACATTCTCCATTTGTCAGATGATCAAAGAAAAGGGGAAAAAATATATAATTTCTTTTTTAAACCTTATAAATTCTTAGTTGAGACACTCTCCTGAAAACGAAAGTCAGATTAACAAAAGAAAAACAAATAGAGGTTTATTGATATGTGCTATACCCATCATATAGGAGAGACCTCAGCTCAAAGGTATCTTTCTCAAGGCAGTGGCTTAGGGGCTTTGCTTAAACAGCATTTTAACAAAGAGCCTTAAATCTAACATAATGACAAGACAGGAGAGAGCAGTTCCAGCCTAGTAAAAGGTGGGAACATGTATAGGAAGATAGTCAACTGTGTTCCCTGATTCCTCCAGTGCCTGCTGATACCTTCTCTGGGCCAATAAGCAAGTGCTATCTCTAGTTAAGAATGTATGTCCTGCTATCAGGCAGATAGAGGCGGGGGCAAAGGATTCCTCTGCATTTTCATTGTCTTTAACTTAACAATCCTCAGTATTTGGGGGAAATGTATTTTGGTTTTGTTCGGTGCCCCCTTTGAAATTTTACTTTTAGAAAGTTTCACATATTAAAAGCCAGGTGAGTAGCTCTGGAGAGATTTGGGTTAGTGATTTTGACATAATAGATTGGCAGAGGGGAGAAAATCATAGATTGGAACAAGTGGAACGGAACGAATTCAGGTACATTGTCCCATATCTTATTGAAACAATCTCTTGGTTGTGAAAATAGGTCAGTTTAGTTAAATAGTTGCATCTCACTTTAGGAGGTGGTGTGGTAAGTGGGTTTCCATCAAAGTCAGTCAGGTATAGGCACATAGGCATTTAATAAAAGTCATTTCTATAGAAACAAAAGGAAACAAAAGTTAATGTTCGGAGCAGTCTCTAAGCTTGTCTTTCAGCGTTCCAGAGAACTTTCTGTCCATAAATAAGTTGTTGTGGTGATTCCTCCAAAATTTATATCAAGTTGTCTAGCTTTAGTGTGCAGAGCTTCATGAAAAGCAGTTTTAATTTCAGTGATTCCAAGTCAGAAAAATGGAAGAAAATGTTCAAATATTAGTTTGGAGAGTTCGTCAGATATTGGAGGAAACTAAAAATTCAGGATATAGTCAAATTGCAAGTAAATAATAAAATCTCGAAAACTGTAGTTAGAATCTCATAATGTTTACTGTAGTTTTTTTTTTCTGAAATAGTTGTTTCTCCAGTTACCCCATTTTTACCAAAAATAATCAGAGTAAGTTCAACTGACTTGTAAAATAAGTTTAGTGTCATTATATTTATTATTTACATAATACTATTTTTTATATAAGTACTACAAGATTATTTATATAAGTACTACAAGAGTAGTGATTGGCCATTTAGGCTTTTTAAAAATCTGCTCTGCTGAAACTTACAAGAAATCTCACAGTAGACGTTTAAAAATCTCTCATCTTCAGGCTGGGAAACGAAGCCGTGGGCTTGCCATCATCAGATTTTACCTGTAGTACCGAGGTATACTGTTTTCTTGAGGCCCCCAAATATTCTGAAGTTCCTGGGCTTCTCAGGAAGTGACGTTCTTTACTTACTGCAAGTCCAGGAACCCTGTAAGCACGCCATCTTGACAAGGGACCAGACCAGTTTTTCCAAGGACTTTATTGCCTCCTTAAAGTTAAGCTTAGTTTCTTAAAGCAGTCTGGTTATATCTAAAAATAATGACATCCCAGTCAAAGCCTTGGTAATATAACCCGTGTTTCCAATTTTTCTGCTACAAACAGAGCAAATTCTTACTGAACTCATGAAAATAACTATGTTGCCATAGAATATGAATATTCAGTTTCCAAATTCGGGAAGGATCAGGTATAGAAAAAAGTAAATGTTTTAATTTTGCCACAAAAATATACTTCACCAAATTATTGTAATGCTATGAATAGCCCCCCCAACCCCGCAACCCCCACCCCAGAAAAAAAAGTTTTCTTAACTCTGGAAAGCAACATATAAAAAGTATCAGCAGTGTTTCAAACAAGTCATAAAAAATTATTTCAGTCCACTGTAATTAATTCTTATTTTTCTTAATGTCAGGTTAGCCATGTTATGAGGCCAGGTTTGTTTGCGTTTTCCATTGGGGTTTGGGAAATTTTTACCCAATTCAGTGGTAATATGGTGTCACAGTTGTCAGAAACCTGTATTCAAGAATGTTTGTTGCACTCTTTTTCATGACCTCCTTGAAGATGCAACACTTTAGAATTTGCAAGGAGATTTCAGAAAAAAAGCATCAAAATAAAGTAATTAACTGTGGACAACATGACTTAAAATGGCTGTGATTAAAGGCATAGTTGTCAAAGATATTTGGTTATTTTCTGTGGCCTACAACAATTTAACATAATAACCCAAAATATGACTGATAACATATACCAAGACATAACCAGATTTCTAGGAATCTCAGAATTTTGGAACACATATTAATAACACTATATACAAATCCAACTCAAAGAAACATCATTTCTTATGTGACAGTGTTTCCCATATAATTTAGCACATCAAATGAGCTGGTTTATGATCTCTCTTTTGTATGCCTCAGGGACCCTCTGCCACATCCCAATATTAGGTTGAGGTTAAAAAGACTCAGTTTTAGAATCTGAACTTTGATTTTGAGAAGCCTGTCAAATACGTCAAAGGTTTAAAGGACTGGATCAGAATAGGATCACAGTTCACTGTAAAATAATGATAATTCATAAGTCAAAGACATAATTAAAAGGGAGACTCACATATGACGTTACCTGTGTAAGTTTATACCTACTAAGTGGTAGCCCCTGAGATTGAACCCACATAGTCTGACTCTATAGTGCATGCTCTTAATTGCTGTGATAAACTGCTTCTCCATTTATTTTAGTAAAGTCAGCTTTATAGAAATTGTTATTGATCAGCATGATAGAAATTCTAACCAACTCAATAAGCATAGAAAAAGGAACACAGTAAAAATATTGAAAGGAGACCAAACTCTTGTTTGCAGACACAGATGGTTAGATAGTCCTGTTGTGCCATAAAACTTAATAGACTAAATAGCAATTCAGTAACTTTAGCATATTCATTGCCTTAATTCTCTTCCCTTGTTTTCTCCTGTTTCTAAATGAAAATGTACAGACACACACATTATTTTCTGTAACAGGTTAGTATGTTTCCCTTTTAACATTTATTTTTCAGCTATTACGTATCTCTTTTCCTTTCCTAACAACACTCCTGAAACAGTTGCCTGTACTTTCTGCATCTACCTCCTGAATTGCCCCCACATACTTTTAAAAAATGTTTAATTATGAAATATTTCAGATTTACAGAAATGTGCTGAATATCAACTATGTATATACCCACCAACCAAATTTTACAGTTAACATTTTGCCATACTGGCCTTAGATCTTTGTTATCTTGTTGTTCTTGTTGGTTTATATTAAAAGTAGAGCACCCATTATCTTATTCCCCCCTCTCCCCAAGGGCTCCACCATCCTAAACTGGTGTTTATCCTTCTGATCTATGTTTTGAATTTTTTCTATATGTGTATGTATCTATAAAATACATATTAGTTTTATATGTTTTTAAAATTTGTATTAATATACAGTAGATATTTTATTATAAATTGCTTTTTTTAAACCAATTTTTTTTTTTTTTTGAGACAGTCTCTCTCTGTCATCTAGGCTGGAGTGCAGTGGCGTGATCTCTGCTCACTGCAACCTCCACCTCGCAGATTCAAGTGATTCTCCTACCTCAGCCTCCCAAGTTGCTGAAATTATAGGCGCGTGCCACCGTGCTGATTTTTGTATTTTTAGTAGAGATGGGATTTCAGCATGTTGCCCAGGCTGGTCTTCAACTGCTGACCTCAAGTGATCCGCCCACGTTGGCCTCCCAAAGTTCTGGGATTACTGGCATGAGCCACTGCATCTGGCCACTTCTACTAAATTAAAAAAAAAAAAATTTATACATGTAGATCTACTTCATTCACTTAATGATCTTATGGTAATCTATCAAATGAATGTGCCGATTTATTTCCCTCTTGGTAAACATTTAGATAGTTTCCAATCTTTTGCTATTATAAACAGCGTTACAGTGTACATCCTTATATATATCTTGTGTGCCCATATGAGGTTTGTCTAAGTAATATTCTTGGAAATGGAATTGTTTAGACAACAAAGTAGTGTAGTTATACTGATATTGCCAAGTTGATTTACAGATTGTTTCTATTCTCATCAGCAGTGTCTGATATTTGCTATTTTTCACATCCTTGCTGATGCCTAGTATTTTTAGTCTTCTTAATTTTTGCCATGGTGGATATTAGTGATTACTCATGACACTAAACATCTTTCCATATGTTTGATGACCACTGGAATTTTCTTTTCTCTGAATTATTTATTCATGTCATTTGCCAATTTTTTCTGTTGAGTTTCTGTGGTTCTCTTACTGAGTTCTAGAAGTTTTTTTCTGATTTCCCAATCTCCAATCCTTTGCTAATTTTATGTGCTGGAGATACTTTCTTCCAATTTATTATGGCACATCATTTAACTTGGCTTTTAGTGACTTCTGTTTTAGTTTACCAGTATTTATGTCTTAAGTGTGTGTGTGTGTGTGTGTGTGTTTCCTTTCCTGTTTTAATGGAATAAAGGATATTCTCTTATATATATAAATTTTATAGTTTAGCTTCTTACATTTAGGCTTTTAATCCATCTGGAGTTAATTTTTGCAAGCTGATCAAAAGAAGGATTTTTATCTTTTCTTCCACATGATGGCTAATGGTTCATGTGGCATTTTATTATCCATTCCTCACTGGTTTTTAATGCCATACTGCCATATACTAAACTCCCAAATATACATGACTCTGTTTGTGGGTTCCATTCTCTTCCTTTGATTGTCCTTCCCTATACCCATACCACATATTTTAATTAATACAGCTTTTCAATAGATTTATTATTTGGAAAAAGAATCCTCCCTCTTTATTCTTTTTCTTTAAAATGGTTTGGCTATTTTTAGTGTCCTACATCTCCTAGTATTCCACATTAATTTAGAGATCACATTGTCAAGTTTCTTTAAAAGAAACAAACTCTCTGGAATTTTGATTTATGAATACATTGAGGCCAGGCGCGGTGGCTCAAGCCTGTAATCCCAGCACTTTGGGAGGCCGAGACGGGCGGATCACGAGGTCAGGAGATTGAGACCATCCTGGCTGACACTGTGAAACCCCGTCTCTACTAAAAACTACAAAAAACTAGCCGGGCGAGGTGGCGGGCGCCTGTAGTCCCAGCTACTCGGGAGGCTGAGGCAGGAGAATGGCGTGAACCCGGGAGGCGGAGCTTGCAGTGAGCTGAGATCCGGCCACTGCACTCCAGCCTGGGTGGCAGAGCGAGACTCCGTCTCAAAAAAAAAAAATAAATAAATAAATAAATACATTGAATTTATAGACTGATTCAGAGAGAATTGACATCTCTAAAGTGTTGATTCTTCTCTTTCAGGAAAATGTATGCCTTTTAAAACAGGCTTTTCTGCTCTTTGGTGAGGTTTTATAGCTTTTATATAAGGTTCCTGCACATATTAAATTTGTTCATAGTTACTTTATAGTTTTTATTAATATTGTACAAGGAGATTTTTTGAGATGACCTTTTTTTATTGATTGCTGCTGCTTATTAAAATGTTACTAATTTTTGTACATTGTTTTGTATGGAGCAACCAGGCAGAATTCTTTTAAAATTCAATTTCTAGATGATTATGACAATAAGACTAATGGCAGTTTTATTTTAATTCCAATCTTGTAGTTTTTTCTTTCTCTTATCAGATGTCTAGGATCTCTAAGGCACTGGTGAATAGAAGCAGTGATAGTGTGACTGCTAACCTTGTTCCTGATTTAAAAGGGAACATATCTAATATTTTACATTAAGTATGATATTTATCGTAGGATTTTGGTAGATAATTTTTATTAAGAAAATGTTATCCCCAGTTTGAGTAAGAGTGTTTTGTTTTTGTCATGAATGGGTGCTGTATTTTGCCAAATGCTTTTTCTGCATTTATTGAGACTATGATGTTTTTTCCTTTGTTCTGTTAAACTGTTATTGTTTGTTGTCTTTTTTCTTCTAATAAACATTTTTTCTAACTTGTTAATCTTTTCAAAAAAGCTACATTGGAGTTTGTGAAATCTCTCTATTGTTTCTCTATTGTTTGCCGTCATTTTCTGTACTTTTTTCCTTTTTTCTCCCTAGCCTAACGGATACTTCTTTTTTACTAATTAGAGATTTTGTTTATTAAATTTTTTTAATATTTCACAAGTTGATGTGTAATGTTTTCATTGTCATTTTCAATTTTTTAATAATTATACTTGATCAAGTTCTAGTTTGTATTGTTACTATGTATGTATATATGCTGGCTTTTCTCCAGTGTGTATACCTAATTCAGGTGTGTAACTTTTTAAAAATAAATAAATGAAAAAAATGAGTGAATTTGGTCCAGTTAGAACTGCCAAATGAGCTACTATATGACTAGAAAGTCAGTTATTTGCACATTATACTGTAAAGTATCATACTAATAAGGTATAAATTCATTATTATCATATGAATATTTTTCATCCTCAATGGGATCTTCCCACTCCACAAACAAGATTGGTGAAAAAAAATATTTATCTTTTTTATTTCCTAGATTACTCAGAAGTATCAGCTTCATGAAGTCACTGCTTATCTATTGGAAAAGAAAGGAGATATTCATGGTGCCTTCCTAATAATGTTAGAGGTAACATTTTACTATGTTTCTTTCATCATGTTTCTGTCTATTCCTCTATTCATTCATGAATCCATCTTAATTTCTTATGTTTCAAAGCAAGTTGCAGACAGTAATATATTTTACCCCTGAATATTTTTATCATGCATAGCATTAACTAGAGTTTAATATTTCTTTGCGGTACTTTATTAAAAGGTAAAATGTACAACAGTAAAAAGAAATGTCATAAATGTACCATTTGATGAATTTTTGACAAGTATTTTTATGTATATACCACAATTTGTTTGCCCATTCCTCCTTCAGGGGACACTTGGGCTGCTTCTACCTTTTGGTTGTTGTGAACAATGCTGCTGTGAACATGAGTGTACAAATACCTTTGAGTTCTTGCTTTTATTTCTTTGGGATATATACCCAGAAGTAGAATTGTTGGATCAAATAGCAATTCTATTTTTAATTTTTTGAAGAATTGCCCTACTGTTTTCCATAGCAGCTATGCCACTTTACATCCCTACCAGCAACACTCAAGGGTTCCAGTTTCTTCGCATTCTTGCTAACGCTTACTTTCTGTTTTCTTGATTAGTAGTCATCCCGATAGGTGAAGTGACATAGCAGTTTTGTTTTGTTTTGTTTTTTAATATTGTCATGTGGCTAGGAATAGATTAGGGATATCATATTTATATTTTAAAATGTTCCATATTGGCTTCTTGTTTCTTTCTAGCCATATGATTCTAAAATAAGCCAGGAAGAATCATCCACAGAGGCTTTGTGTAGGCTCTTAATCTCTTTTAATCTGTAAATTACTCCTATACCTCTTTTTTTCTTGCAATTTATTTGTTGACAATACCATGAACCTAGTTTTAAGGAATAAATAAGAGTATTTTTGACATTGATGAGAGGAGAAACAGGAGATCTTTGTGGGGAATGAGGCCATTATTCGTAAAAGAATACAAAGCGAAGAAGTATGGATTGCTGAAAGAGTGCCAGCAGCTTCACTAGGGCTCCGCTGTGTAACATATAGGCAGGTCAGGCGAGAAACAACGGCTAGGTCCAGATTTGGACAGATTTTGTTGGACACACTAACGAGTTGTGACTAATCTTCTTATCACATGGGATCAAATAAAGGTTTTTAAGCAAGAAACTGATTTGATGTTTGTTTCATAAAGACTGCTCTGGTGACTGTTGGGGGATGGAAGGCAGGATACAGAGAAGAGGGAGGTAAAACAAAGCAGACAGTACTTGGGAGGCCATTGCAATGGTACAGGTATGAGTCTCTGAGAGCTTGAACTGGGTGTGTCAGTGGCAATGGAGATAAGAGGGCAAGATTTGAGAAGTTATTGATCATTTGCATATGGTATGAGGTAACTGAGAGGGAGTAGTTGATGATTTGAGCTTATAAGCTTTTTACTCATAACCCAGTATATTATACCCCTTTTACTCATAACCCAGTATATTAGTCTCTTTTGTGTTACTCTAAAGGAATACTTGAGGCTGGGTAATTTTTAAGGAAAAGAGGTTTATTTGGCTCACAGTTCTGCAGACTATGTTAGCATCTAGCATCTGCTTCTGGTGAGGACCTCAGGAAGTGAGGGTAAAGGAGAGCTGACGTGTCACATGGCATGAGAGGGAGCATGAGATTTGGAGTCAGATATCCAAACTATATCACCCAGTATTAATTGGATTCCCTTATCCAAAGCATAGATAAATCCTGATCCTCATTCCTGTGCCTAAAGAATATAAGTGGTGACTGTGGCCGGATGACAGAAGCAGAGGTGGGCAAAATGAGTGCTACTTGATCTTTGGGTCCCTTTTCATACTGCTAGCTACACTGTCTGTAAACACAAGATTTTACTTCTGACTGACAGTAAAGTACTGTTCTTAATAACCTTGTAGTTTTGAGGGTGTTACCTTTAAAATATGTTAATTCAAGTATTGAGTGGGTAGAACTACAAAGTGTTCCTTTTTAACTCCTATGTTCTTTTTGTCTCCTAGAGACTACAAAGCAAACTTCGGGAGATAACACATCAAGGTGAAAGTAAGTTCTTAAATATAATTACAACATTTTTCATCCATGGACCCCATGTTTTAAAAGATATGTAATAAATTGCATTTATTATGTAATAATTACACTTGCATATATGCATAATTACTGTTTATTCGTTTTAACATGGATCCAAAGAGTTCATAACAGGAAATCATAGAAACCATTGTGGCTTTGTTATGTTAATTTTCAATGGAGTTAAATATACAGAAAATTAGGCACTGTTTGTTGGTTATCTTTATTTTTTTTTTGAGACAGGCTTTCGCTCTATTGCCCAGGATAGAGTGCAGTGGTACAGTCTTGGCTCACTGCAACCTCCGTCTTCCAGACTCAAGCAGTCCTTCTGCCTCACCCTCCCAGGTAGCTGGGACTACAGGCGCATGCCATCACATTGGCTAATTTTTGTATTTTTTGTAGAGATGGGTTTTGCCATATCACCCGGGCTGGTTTCAAGCTCTTGGCTCAAGTGATCTGCACACCTCAGCCTCCAGAAGTGGTGAGATTGCAGACATAAGCCACCACGCTAGGCTGGTTATCTTTTTGTTAATAAAAGTTTGGTTGTGTTTAAATGAGGTATATAATAACATCCTAATAACATCCTAAAAATTAATGTGCCAAACAACAGCAAATCAGAGCTTCTAATTAGTAGGACGTTGAACATAACCAGTGTTTCCAAACTGAATTTATACAGTTTTAACCCAAAGCAGTAAAAGTTGACAGTTTAGTATCTTGAGTGGCTTTGTCCTCAGCAAATATAAAATTTTCATCATATTCCTTGATATTTCAAAGAAAAATTATTTTAAAAAATTGTGGTGGCGAGGCGTGGTGGCTCACACCTGTAATCCCAGCACTTTAGGAGGCCGAGGCAGGCGGATCACCTGAGGTCAGGAGTTCGAGATCAGCCTGGCCAACATAGTGAACCCTGTCTCTACTAAAAATACAAAAATTAGTCAGGCATGGTGGCACGCACCTGTAGTCTCAGCTACTTGGGAGGCTGCGGCAGGACAATTCCTTGAACCTGGGAGGCAGAGGTTGCAATGAGCCGAGACTGCACCACGGCGGTCCAGCCTGGGTGTCATGACAGAGCAAAACTCCATCTCAAAAACAAACAAACAAACAAATTATGGTAAAATATACCCTAACATAAAATTTACCATTTTTAAGTGTACATTTCAGTAGTATTAAGCATATTCATGTTATTATACAATCATTACCCCCATCCACTTCCAAATTTTTTCATCTCCCCAAACTGAACATCTGTACCTATTAAGCAACAACTCCCCTGTTCCCCTCTCCTCCTAGCCCCTGGCAAACACCGTTTTACTTTCTTTTTTCACCATTCTTTTTCTGAATTTGATTACTCAAGTATCTCATATGAATGAAATTATATAGTGTTTGTCCTTTTGTGACTTATTTAGCTTACCATAAGGTTCATAAATGTTGTAGCATGTGTCAGAATTTTCTTCCTTTTTAAGGCTGAATAAAATTCCATTGTATGTATAGACCACGTTTCATTTATTCATTCATCCTTCAATGGACACTTGGGCCACTTCCACTTTTTGTCTGTTATGACTGATGCCACTATGAGCATGAATGTACAGTATCTCTTCAAGACCTGGCTCTCAGTTCTTTTGGGTATATAACCAGAAGTGGGATTGCTGGATCAAGTATTAACTCTGTTAATTTTTTGAGGAATGACCATACTTTTTTCCCTAGTTGCAGCTTTATTTTACATTCCCACCAACAGTATACAAGGTTTCCAATTTCTCCACATCCTAACATTTATATTCTGTTTTTTTAATAGTAGCTATCCATATGTGTGTGAGGTAGTATCTAATTATGGATTTGATTTGCATTTCTCTAAATGATTAGTGATGATTTTCTCGAATATTTTGGCTATTTATCTACCTTATTTGGAGAAATGTCTATTCAAGCCCTTTACCCATTTTTTAATTGGGTTGTTTGTTTTCATATTCCTTGACATTTTTAAAATAGCCCTCCTGAAGATCAGGGAATCACTTGGTGGGTGATTTTTAGATTATCCTCTTTAACGCACATGTCTTAGAGACTTCTTGGTCCACACATTTCACTAATACATGGTTTCCCTAATTCTCTGTAGATTACTTCCCTATATTTTTGTAGTAAGATCCTAGATGATAGGGTCTATGTTGTTTTATGATCATCAGGTATTATAGTAAATCGTTTTGGAATGTCAGTGAACACTTGATTGACTTTTTATATTGAAAGTTCAACTGGACACTTAATTGCTATTTTTGTACTATCAGTATGTGTTCAGTCAATTTGGTTATGTTTGTTGCATTTTGTGGTAATTTTAAAAATTTAGTGTTATAAGAATAACTTTTCGGTTTTTTTTATTTTTCTTTTTTCTTTTTTTTCTTTTGGAGATGGCATCTCTGTTGCCCAGGCTAGAGTGCAGTGGTGCAATCTTGGCTTACTGCAACCTCCGCCTCCCAGGTTCAAGTGATTTTCCTGCCTCAGCCTCCCGAGTAGCTGGGATTACAGGTGTGTGCCACCATGCCCGGCTAATTTTTGTATTTTTACTAGAGACAGGGTTTCACCATATTGGTCAGACTGGTCTTGAACTCCTGACCTCGTGATCCACCTGCCTCGGTCTCCCAAAGTGCTGGGATTACAGGTGTGAGCCACTGCACCCAGCACCCCCCGCCCCGCCTTTTTTTTTTTTTTTGTGAGATAAAGTCTTGCTCTGTCGCCCAAGCTGGAATGCAGTGGCGTGATCTCGGCTCACTGCAACCTCCGCCTCCCGGGTTCAAGTGATCCTCCTACCTTAGCCTCTTGAGTAGCTGGGACTACAGGTGTGTGTCACCATGCCCAGCTAATCTTTGTATTTTTAGTAGAGATGGGGTTTCACCATGTTGGCCAGGCTGGCCTCAAACTCCTGACCTCAGGTGATCTACCCGCCTCATCCTCCCAAAGTGTTGGGATTACAGGTGTGAGCCACTGCGCCCAGCCAAGAATAACTTTTCAAGACAATACATGAAAGACTTAGGGAAAAATTAAGAAGAGCATTCCCTCAGAATCCCTACAGTCATTTGCAGGTGGTATGTCTGCAAAGGCCAGTGTTTTGAATTCTAGTGAAAATAAATTTTCCAGAAATAGTCTTATGCCTGCCATCTACTTTCTTTCTTTTTTTCTTTCTTTCTTTTTTTTTTTTTTTGAGATGGAGTCTCACTCTGTTGCCTAGGCTGGAGTGCAGTGGCGCAATCTTGGCTCACTGCAACCTCCACCTCCCAGGTTCAAGTAATTCTTCCTGCCTCAGCCTCCAGAGTAACTGGTATTACAGGCACCCACCACCATACCCAGCTAATCTTTGTATTTTTAGTAGAGACAAGGTTCCACCATCTTGGCCAGGCTGGTCTCAAACTCCTGACCTCAGGGTGATCCACCCACTTCGACCTCCCAAAGTGTTGGGATTACAGGCGTGAGCCACCACAACCGGCCCCATCTACTTTCATATTCCATTTTGATAGCGTGCTTAAGTATTTGGGAGGATTTGCTAATCGTGCTTTTTTTCCTATGGGCTATACACAGACTACTAAAACAAGATTCCCCTACTCACTGCACAAAGAACGTTAGTCTCCTGAAGGAGACAGATATGTAAATAAAACCTTATAGTAACAGTAGAATGGTGTGTCATAAAAGGTACATTGAGTGACTAAGATGTGTGGAAAATTATGGAACTATTTGTAACCTATAAATCAGTGAGTTTTGTGGAAGACCTTTGAAGAAAGACTGGAAGGATAAATAGGAGTTTGATAGAAGCAGGAGAACGACCTTCTAGGCTGAGGAAAACATGAACATGGAAGTGCCTGACTACTAAAAAAAGAATAGGGCAACACCAGAACACGGAGGGTGAGATGAGCCCAAGTCTTTGCTCTGTTGACTTAGTGTCAGATCCTTACTTACATTCTATTTTTCAGAGTTAGGAGTCCTTGGTGGTTTTTATGGAAGGGAATGATCTGTTTGAACTTGTGCTTAAGAGAACCCTAGTGACAGTGTAAAAGAGAATGAGGGAGGCAAGACTGGGATGTCAAAAGTTCAACTAAGAGACTGCTGCAGTAGCATAGACGAGGTGATGAAAAGCTCCACCAGGGTAAAAGTTGTGGTCATATGCAAGCACGGAAGTAATATCAACACAAATTAGCAAGTTATCTGAATGTGTGGGGTGAAGGAGAGGGAAGCACCAAAGATGAAGATTTATAAACTGGTTGACTTAAAGATGATGATTCCATTAACTTGGTTTGTAAACGGAGGAAGGAGCAGATTTGAAATGAGAAAAATAAGTTGGATTTTGCACATATAAAGTTGAAAGTGCTTGCAGGACATCCATGTGGAGATAAATGTCTTAGGTTCATTAGAAAATTCAACCTGTAGACTTTGAATGGAATAAAGATTGGAGATGTGTATTTGAAAATTACGAACAAAGACATAAGAGTTGAAACACGAATCACTGAAATCATTGAGACAATGAAGAGAGACCTGAAATAGTATCTTGGGGGGAATGTCTACATTTAAGAAATAGGCAGAAGAAGAGATAGTATACCAAGAAAGGTGAGTGATAATCTCTCTAGTAACTAATCCTTAGATAGATGATTGGGAATTTTCCATATTTCTATAGCATATTGAAATGCTAAGTATCATGTGCTTTATCTGTCCCACGAACGTAAAACATTTCTGTGGGAAACTCTTATTTCACAGAATAAACTATTTTTTAATCTATAAAACATTAGTATCAGGTTTTATTAATTATTATATACTAGAAAATGAAGGTGATATAAAGAAGAAAATGTTTAACTTTTCACAAAAGCTCTGAGATTATCAGCAACATATCCCTAAATGATATTTACACTTTTTCTAAATCTAGATACCAAAGAGGATCCCTCATTGAAGGATGTTGAAGATACTATGGTGGAGACCATTGCTCTTTGCCAGAGAAATTCACATAATTTGAACCAGCAGCAACGTGAGGTAGGAGAATGACTGTTTAGGTATTTAAAAGCCTGTACTTGGCCAGACATGGTGGCCCACGCCCGTAATCCCAGCACTTTGGGAGGCCGAGACAGATGGATCACCTGAGGTCAGGAGTTCAAGACCAGCCTGACCAACATGGAGAAACCCCATCTCTACTAAAAATACAAAAAATTACCCGGGTGTGGTGGTGCATGCCTGTAATCTCAGCTACTTGGAAGGCTGAGGAGGTAGGAGAATTGCTTAAACCCAGGAGGCGGAGTTTGCGGTGAGCTGAGATTGCACCATTGCACTCCAGCCTGGGCAACAAGAGTGAAACTCCGTCTCAAAAAAAAAAATAAATAAAGCCTGTACTTGTCTGAAACTAGGAATCAGTTATGTTTCGGCCCTCTCAGCCACCTGGGCTTAATTCAAGTGGATTTTAATCACTTCTTAGTGTTCCCAGGAGTAGGAGACTCCCAAAGTTATTATAAAGAGTGTGTGGCCTCTTTGTTCTCACCAAAAGCTTTATATTCATGGTTTGGATGTGCTGCAATACTTAAGGTGTGTGAATACTAGATGTGCCTGTTCTCTTTGGACTGAGATTTTGTGTATTTCATGTAGTTGTACCAGATAGGTCATATTTTATCATCGTCTCTATTCCCTGTGGTGAAAGTGAGCATGAAGAACTGGAGGAAAGCCCTCAAGGGCTATAGAGAAAGCTGAAGAAAGGTTAAGGAAGGCTGTGGTGTAGTCATTGTCAACCTTGGTTGCACACTACAGTCACCTGGGGAGCTTTGAACAATTCCAGTACTCAAGCTGCACCCCAGATCAATTAAATTAAAGTCTCTGGCAATGAGACCCAGTCACCACCATGTTTTAAAGCTCCCTTCATGATTCCAATGTGCAGCCAGGGTTGGAACCAATGCTATCACAGATCCCAGATGGCACAAAAGAAGAAAACAAAACTGAAGGAGGTATCACTGAGCAGCAGGTGCAGGTGGGAGTTACAGCAGTGAAGCAGAAACTAAGGGGGCGAGATGTGATTTGATAGTTAAATTCTGCAGTAGTTTTAAGAAGTAAAGTTGTATCATGATATGGCTTAACTCCTTGCCTGCCCTTCCACGGCTCAGGTCTCTGACTTGACACTGCCTGGCCTCTCTCTAATGCCTGGGTTTTGAAATGGGGAACAGGTTAATTATATATCTATTTAGCCATACATGTTACAGTAAAAACAATAAATCATGGCATATTTTCTGTTCTTCTGAGATGAGTAAATTTCTCCTTTAAGTTTTTGTCCAGAATTTTTCAAGGTCATAAATTATGAAAAGTCTTTAGAATGTAAATTGTGTATAACAAGCCCATTTACATAAATGTGGTGGTTTTTCTTTATTAAAAGAAACTTTCTGTGAAATGATACATATTTGTGATTTTTAAAAATCATGAAATATGGAAAGTTATGCAGAAAATTGTTTTTTTTTGTTTTTTTTTAAAATATTTTATTATACTTTAAGTTCTAGGGTACATGTGCACAACGTGCAGGTTTGTTACATATGTATACATGTGCCATGTTGCTGTGCTGCACCCATTAACTCGTCATTTACATTAGGTATATCTCCTAATGCTATCACTTCCCCCCCGACCCCACAACAGACCCCAGTGTGTGATGTTCCCCTTCCTGTGTCCAAGTGTTCTCATTGTTCAATTCCCACCTATGAGTGAGAACATGCAGTGTTTGGTTTTTTGTCCTTGAAATAGTTTGCTGAGAATGATGGTTTCCACCTTCATCCATGTCCCTACAAAGGACATGAACTCATCCTTTTTTGTGGCTGTATAGTATTCCATGGTGTATACGTGCCACATTTTCTTAATCCAGCCTGTCATTGTTGGACATGTGGGTTGGTTCCAAGTCTTTGCTATTGTGAATAGTGCCGCAATAAACATACGTGTGCATGTGTCTTTACAGCAGCATGATTTATAATCCTTGGGGTATATACCCAGTAATAGGATAGCTGGGTCAAATGGTATTTCTAGTTCTAGATCCTTGAGGAATCGCCACACTGTCTTCCACAATGGTTGAACTAGTTTACAGTCCCACCAACAGTGTAAAAGTGTTCCTATTTCTCCACATCCTCTCCAGCACCTGTTGTTTCCTGATTTTTTAATGATAACCATTCTAACTGGTGTGAGATGGTATCTCATTGTGGTTTTGATCTGCATTTCTCTGATGGCCAGTGATGATGAGCATTTTTTCATGTGTCTGTTGGCTGCATAAATGTCTTTTGAGAAATGTCTGTTCATATCCTTTGCCCACTTGTTGATGGGGTTGTTTGTTTTTTTCTTGTAAATTCGTTTGAGTTCTTTGTAGATTCTGGATATTAGCTCTTTGTCAGAATGAGTTTTTTTTTTTAATTAAAATATATTCGTCCCATTACTTAGAAATAACTGTCATCATCATTTGGTGAACATAACTCTAGATATTTTTTGTCTGCCTAGGTTGATATAATTATAGTAAAATTGCATCAAATAATGCTTGCTTTTAAAAATATAGTACTCAAAAAATATGTGTATAGTACTCAGCTTCCCATAGGAAACTTATGTAAAACTAAAGAATGTTCTTAATTGATGCAAAATAATTATACATATTCATGGGGTTAATGTGATATTTTGATACATGCATACAATGTGTAATGATCAAATCAGGTTACTTAGAATATCTGTCACCTCAAACATTTATCATTTCTTTGTGTTGGGAACATTTCGAGTCTTCTAGCAGTTTTGAAATATGCAATACATTATTGTTTACTGTAATCACCCTACTGTTTTGTTGAACATTAGAACTTATTAAAATTCTATCTAATTGTATGCTTGTAGCCATTGACAATCTCTCCTCATCCCCCCACCCATCCTTACCAGTTTCTGGTAACCATTCTACTCTATTCCTCCATGAGATCAACTTTTTTAGCTCCCCACATATAAGTCAGAACATGCGATATTTGTCTTTCTGTGCATGGCTTATTTCACATAACATTATGACCTCCCCTTCCATCCTTGTTGCTACAAGTGTCAGGATTTCATCCTTTTTTATGGCCAAATACTATTCTTTTTTTTTTTTTTTTTTTTTTTTTTGAGACGGAGTCTCGCTCTGTCACCCAGGCTGGAGTGCAGTGGCGCAATCTCGGCTCACTGCAAGCTCCGCCTCCCGGGTTCACGCCATTCTCCGGCCTCAGCCTCCCGAGTAGCTGGGACTACAGGCGCCCGCCACTGCGCCCGGCTAATTTTTTTTCTATTTTTAGTAGAGACGGGGTTTCACCATGGTCTCGATCTCCTGACCTTGTGATCCGCCCGCCTCGGCCTTCCAAAGTGCTGGGATTACAGGCGTGAGCCACCGCGCCCGGCCCCAAATACTATTCTATTGTGTATATTTACTACATTTTCTTTATCCATGCATCCATTGATTGACACTTAGGTTGATTCCATATTTTGGCTATTGTGAAAAAGTGCTACAGTAAATGGGTGCAAGTGTCCCTTTGATATACTGATTACAATATATTTCCTTTAGATAAATACCCAGTAGTAGGATTGCTGAATTATATTGTAGTTCTGTTTTTAGTTTCTTCAGGAACCCCCATGTTGTTTTCCAAAATGGCTGTACTAATTTACATGTTCACCAACCGTGTATAAGGCTTTCCTTTTCTCCACATCCTCAGCAAGACTCATCTCTGATCTTTTCTATCATTGCTGTTCTAAGAAGTGTGATGTGAATCTCATGGTTACTTCGTTTTACATTTTCTTGATGGTTAGCGATGTTGGAACATATTTTTCATGAACCTGTTGGCCATTTGTATGGCCGCCATGTTGATCTTCTTTTGAGAAATGTCTATTCATATCCTTTGCCCACTTTTTAATTGGATTATTTAGTTCTTTTTTGCTGTTGAGTTGTTTGAGTTCCTTATATATTCTAAATATTAGTCCCTTGTCAGAAGACTAGTTTGTAAATATTATCTCTCATTGTAAATGTTGTCTCTTCACTCTTTGGATCATTTCCTTGCTGTGGAGAAGTTTTATAGTTTAACATAATGCTACTTGTGTATTTGTTTTGTTTTGTTTTGTTTTCGTTACCTGTGATTTTGAAGTGTTAGCTGTAAAATTTTTGCCTAGACCAATGTCCTGAAGAATTTCCCTTATATTTTCTTCCAGTAGTTTTATGCATGTGGGCTTTACATTTAAGTCTTTAATCTATGCTGAGTTAGTTTTGTATATTGTGAGAGATAAGAGTCTAGTTTCATTCTTTGCCATATGGATATCCAGTTTACCCAACACCATTTACTGAAGAGGGTGTCTTTTCCCTAATGTATGTTATTGGCTCCTTTGTGAAAAATCAGTCAGCTGTAAATATGTGGATTTATTTCTGCATTCTCTGTTCTATTCCATTGGTCTATGTGTCTGTTTTTATACCAGTACCATGCTGTTTTGGTTATTACAGCTTTGTAATATATTTTGACATCAGGTAGTATGATGCCTACAGATGTATCCTTTTTGTTCAGGATTGCTTTGGCTATTCAGGATCTTTTGTAGTTCCATGAATTTTAAGATTTTTTTTTTCTATTTCTGTGAAAAATGTTATTGGTATTTTGATAGGGATTGCATTGAATCTACACATTGCATTGGGTAGTATTGTCATTTTAACTTTATTCTTCTGATCCATGAGCATGGGATGTCTTTTTATTTGTGTATATTCAGTTTCTTTCATCAGAGTTTTGTAGTTTTCCTTATAGAGGTCTTTCACCTCCTTGGTTAAATGTATTCCTAGGTATTTTGTTTTATTGTTTGTAACTCATGTAAATGAGATTGCTTTCTTGAATTCTTTTTCAGATAGCTTGTTATTGGTATGTAGAAATGCTACTGATTGTTGAATGTTGATTTTTGAATGCAGCAACTTCACTGAATTTGTTTATCAGTTCTAACAGTTTCTTGGTGGAGTCTTTAGGTTTTCATATATATGAGATAATGTCACTTTC